CTGCATAGAGGCTCAGATAGAGATTGCATTTTGAACAATCCTAATAAAAATGTAATAGAAGGACCTCAACGATGGAAATGAAAAGTGTTGTTTAAACAAACCACTGAGTGATGTTATCATGCAGTTTAACAGAAGTTGTGGTTCTTTATTCCCTTAGTCTTTTTCTTTTTTTTTCTAAACACAAAGAGAAAGCATAAGATATGTCTGCAATCGTGGTCAAGATACCATGGAAGCTACATGCCGCAGCAGGACGCCTGTCGGATAGACAATTAAAGTGGCCCAGGAATGACATATCCCCTCTTGCCAACATAATTAAGGTGTATTATTTGTCAGGGAGGTCAACGGTGAACAAATGTCCTAGCAAAGTGAGACTGAAAGACAGGGAAGGAGCAGATAATGAAATTCAGGGATGACAAATGGCTTTGAGCCTGACACTGTGGCATCTGACAGAAAGAGACATCCAGCGAGTCTGAAACTTCTGCCTGCGCTGTACTCCGTGCTGTTTCATTCCAGCTTTTCCATAAAGAAGCCCACAGCATTTACAAGCGTTCCCCACGACACGGTAAGAATGCAATAACGGGTGGGAAAAAAGCATCTAGCAAATGCCACATTCCCCATCAGAAAAGGCCCCTCTCTGTGCACTGCCCCATGTCCCTCCGCTGCCCAGCTCAGGCAGGGCTCTGCCTGCCCCTCTGCTCCCAGCCGCGTTCAGCATCACTCCTCACCCATGCTTCGCACTCCTGCCGCAGGGACACAGCCCCTGAAGTCTTTCTCCCGACCATTTCACCTCCTGTTTCTTTACTATCCTTTGTCTATGCAGAAGTAAAAGGTGACACTTATTCTTTCACCTGCAAAACCACAACAAAGGCACGAGCCTTTTCTACCTACCAACAACAGAATTTTTGTCTGCTTTATCCTGACTGCAAAGGATTTCCAGTAATATGCAAGCTAAGATGCATTTGCTTGTGTTGTCGGTCATTAGTGCTGTAATATAAATGCTTATAAGAGGTGGCAGACTGATGCAATCCAATTTCTTGTTCTTACTAAGCAATTCTCTCCAAATATTTTACACACGTTCACTAGAGAACAATCAGTGGAGCAAAAAATCCCAAACATTGCCTTTGCCATTCAGCCAGAGGTTAACAAAGGTCACCAGCTGTTTTTACCAGACTTCCAACCCTGAGATACTACTTACATACATATCAATGTTAGCCATTTAAAAAGCTACATTAATTTTGGCCCTGAAAACCAGACGTGTTCGATCTGAGGCCTTCGCTTCAGAGAAATTAGGGTCTCCTATGGTCCCTGATTCAAGTTTAGCCAAGGAAATATCCACACGTGTATTTTAGGGGTTGGATATGTATTGTCTCAATTCTGTGCCCATAATACTTTTCGTTGTAATCCTGAACAGTTATAGGAAGGTTGAGAGCAAAATACCATCAGAGGAAAAAGGACATTGTGCTACATGTGCTCACAGTACAGCAGTCCCAACACCTCCCAGCAGGTGAAATGATATGGTTGGCAAAATTAATGTAGCCCAACCACTACTTTTATGACATTTTTGGGCTGGTGAAATTACTTCAGTCCATTTTACCATACTACAGAAAATCATAAGCAGTATTACAGGAGGCTGAAAATCTCCATATTTATGAATGAGGGATGGATGATTAAGATAAAAGCATCCCTGCTATTGATCACAGGCCTCTCTCATCTATTAAAATAATAAAACCACATAATGCTGCAGCACTTAAAGCACAGCACTTGAAGAAGGTGACCGAATGCAAAAATGGTGGTCGTGTCCCATACACTGGTGCTCCAGCTGCAGGAAGCTGCAGGGCAACACGACCACCAGCACTGCCATGGAGCTGGTTCAGCTCAAATCCCAACTGAATGCCCTCGCTATTGCACACAGCTTTTCCATGCTGGGCTCAGGAGTACCCAGCAGCTCTTCACCATGCTAAATGCTAGGCATAGCTTGCTGCACTGGGGTCACTCAACACCATCATCATCTAGATTTCCACAGGGATGGACTTTTCTGCAGCAAACATATGTTCTGTGATGTTTCCTGCAGCAGGGTGCCCCAAGGGGGTATTTAGCACCATCAACTTCTGGTACCGAGCACCACAAGCCCTGTCCAGGAGATACTTGCCACCTAGCAGCACTGGTTTCATGAGCTGTCAGAACACATCTTACCCACTTTGGAGTATCAGTGAGGCACCAGTCATGGCATCAACAGCTCTTGTGACCTGAGACCCAGCACTGGGCTCCAGCACACTGCTGGATTCACCCATGCCTGCACAGAGCTGCTGGTGCCGACGAAACACACCGGTGACCAGAAACTGCTTCAGCAAATAGCACCATTCACAAACTATCAAACTACAGCCCTCTAAAAAATATTTTTATTACATATATCATTCTGGTTTTCTTAAGGAAAAAAAGGCATTTTTTTTCCAAGTGAAAATCATAGGGGCTTTAAGGCAAAAAGCATGCTTTTTTTGCTTGGCAGAGGGTGGAATATCATGGTCATGCTGGAAAACCACTGTGCTGGACTGATATTAGCCTGGATCCAATTAGAAACACTTTTCATTTTTAACCCAGGTGAAATTGCACAATTATAACAGCAACAGCCTGTGCTTGACAGGAAATGGAGAAAGTTGTTCTCGCTGAAGAAAGGAATAAAGGCCTGCTCAGTGCTCACAGAAATCATGCACAAAACCTCCAGGCCAAGCACAGCTCCCAAACTGAATACCAAAAGCTATTTTGTGCTTGATGGTGAGTATCCAGGTACTGAGTACTCATTTATCCCTTGTAAGAAAAGCTCATCCCTGCGGCAGTTTCCCTCCCAAGAACTCAGCCTGTTTCCACCAACAGAAATAAGGACAATCCCCGTAGACTCTGGGATCTCTTCCACCTACCAAAAATGGTCTCAGCCATGGCTTCTATGCAACACTGAGCTCAGGAGAGAGTACTCCAACCCTGTCTGCACACGTGTGTCCTCACGTAGGATCTGATGGTGCTAAAAGGCAATAGCTTGATTCAACAGATGCTCAAATCCTGCTAGGCTGAAATGAGGTGACATTTGTAATAAAATCAGGAGTGTTGACAACACCATAAGATAAGGTGCTTTTGTCCACCCTCAAGTTCTTAGTTCTAACTTTTAGTATATCTTATCAAAGAAAAAAATACAGTATTTGAATTTTTCTGCACCAGGATCCTACCATTGCATGGCCAAGGCTGTCACAGGATTGGGTTTGCACAACTACGATTTAGCGACAGCTACGACAGAAAGTTATTAGCAACTTTAATAAACCACAATTTGAACCAGGCTTTTATATATTAACAGGCAAGAGAAACAGATGGTTTGTCTTTAATTACTTGTTGCAAACTTTCTGTACTTTGACTGCCTTTTCCAGGTTGTTCTCAGAAGCAAAACGTATACCAGAATACTGTGCCGTGTATTTGATGCAACCATGAGGACAGCAATCTTCCAAAAGAAAAGAAAGTGAAGAAGAAAAGATAACGAGAAAAAGGAAAGCCTATCTTCACAAGATTGGCAGACCTATATTAGAAATGCAGAAGGTTGAGATAGCTTGGACAAATGCCCAAACTTCAGAGAGTTTAATCAAAACTGAACCAACCAATCCTCCTCCCCTTATGAGATTTGCCCAGCAACAATTACGATCAGTTTTAAAAACCACAAGTACTTAATAAAACTAGAATATTATAAATCTTCTGCCACATGAAGCTAATAAAAATAAATAATAATAATAAATTTTAATGTTTCAGGCACCCGGGCCCAAAGGCACTAACCTGTATTTGTGCCTCAAGTCAATGATATAAATAGTTGTAGAAATAAATGAATAAATGTAATTTTTGTAGAAGAGTATTTTTTCTTCATACCTGCCAGATTTTAGGCTGATTACATGCACTGCAATAGGAGTTGTAATGAGATGATTTAAGAGACTGTTCCATTTACATGTTCATCTGACATTATTAAATCTCTATTTGTTTCTATCACAGAGAATTCAGAAACAAGCTCCAGAGGGTGTATTGTTGGCTGAACCATCCAGTTTTGTCTTAAAACTAACGCAAAGTTAGTTCAGCCTGGGGCTCCTCCAGCCAACAGGCCCCAAGCATCTGTTGGACCACATGAAGGCATTTGTTTTCCCAGCCCTGGAAGGGTTACTTTTCACTTCTCACTGCCTCATCCCATCAACTTTACACATTTTTTTAAATGCAAAGTATTTCGTAACACTGTGGTTGTCACCATCCCAAGCCCAGAGGGTGTATAACATTTCTACCTCACCTACGTGCTACAGAAAACATCCATTTTGAAGGGAAAGTGTTTGGTTTTGCTGGTCTGGTTTCAGTGGGAAGGGCAGCGCTGAAATATCAGTCATCACTTTGAAAAATTTGGAGATGATAGCTAGAATTCAATGCCATGACCCCACAGGCAGCACACTGTCCCTGAGCCCCAAACTCAAGCTCTTTGGTTGCCTCGGTCCAAGAAAGATTTGCATGCAAATCTTACACTGACTTTTGTCTCATTAGGGATAAGTAGAAGCTAAAAAAAGACATTTAGATTGCTCTGGTTATTAAAAATAATACACTGCAGAGTGAGTTGTGCATATTAATGATCAGGAACCACACTATTGTGTCTTTCACCCTCAGGAGCGGGGTCACGGCACCCCAGCGAAGGTGGCGGGTTGCACATTTTCACATAGTACCATTCATTTGTAAAAAGAGAAATCAGAAGGCAGACTCATACCCAAAAAAATCCTATATTGGGAATACATTGGAGCACTTTTAGAAATCACTAGGGCTGTTTTCATAATCCTTCCACTTGTAAGGCCAAATGCTTTAATTACCATGAGACCAGCTAGCTACAGAGGGCTTAGAAAGAGCCATAAAAACATGTTAGAGTGGCCTAAAATAGCTTTCCCTCCCCCTAAAAATAGAACAACACTCAGAGAAAATACTTCTACTCCTTTGGAGGCAACCGGGACGGCGAGGATAGCGCCTGGGGGAGCAGCCCTAGCCCCAGCAGCACGGTGTTCACCAGGACCAGAGTATTCTGCCAAAAATGAAATGCTGTCCTGTATCAAAACCCGATTCGAGCTTCTGCCGAGCCTGACCAGTCTTGGGTCTTGAGCCAGGATGATTTTTTGGGAGGAAATTCCACATTTGGGAGGGAAAGGATGAAGTAGTTATAAAAGGGTCAGCTTGCCAGATGGAAAAAAAAGAGGCAGTTGTATGAACAGAATGGAGGAAAGCATTTCCTGGGTCACTGAGTTTTGTCCGGAGCTACTTAAAGGAACTAATTCCCACATCACCCTTCAATGAGCGACCACGCTCTTGCAGCAGGCAGAAGCATGAGGATCACCTCAACACCACGTCCCCCTCTGCAAAGGTGCAACACTCAATGCAGCATCGCTGAAATGTGAGTAACCTCAACATCACATTCTGTTTTTTCTATTTTTTTTTCTATTTTTTTTTTTCATTTCTTTTTAAAAAATATTTATTTTTCTTTCACTCCTGAAGAGGCTTCTCTCCAACAACACCTCAGAAGCTCAAGGAGCAGGGGTAAGACCTGGAGGCAAACAAAGCCCCTGCCCAGTGGGACCAACCTCCCGCTGCCGGGCTGGGGTCACATTGCTTCCATGAGAGGAGGGCAGGATGGCCCCTGCAGAAAGCTGGGCTTCAGCACTGATCATTCATTGAAATTTGGCAAGTCCCCCATGCTCCCTGCCTCGGTTTTCCAGTCTGAGCAGTATGAACATTACTGTTTGCCCCTCTTTGTAAAGGGCTCTGTCATCTGCACTGTACACACCCACTGGGACATTCCTGACATTAATTTCTGCTTCATATCAGATTATGTGATCGTTATTAACCTTCCAGCTTTCAGTACTGAAGGGTCAGATCCATCTCAGTCCAGCAGATGAAGCTCTGCTGACTTCACTTAAGCTGCAGCCACTTACTCCAGGACTGGATTTAGTCCTGGGCATTTTTCAATTTAAAATACACCAGCAATGCAAAGCCACCACCATTTCTTCCAGGGGTGGTCTGATTTCATTTACAAGTGTTTGTGCTGGCAACTCCTACATAATGCTCAGATGCAATTGTGCTTGAGTATTAAATATAATGGGTTAGATGTTATGAATAGGAAAATAAGATAACTTGGTAAAGGAGCTTTGACAGCAAGAGTGAAAGAATGAAGATTCAGCTTAAGCTGTTGAAAGCCTAACAAGATAAAGACAGGCAGGGGAGAGTTGCCTTAAACGTGATGAAAATAAGGCCTGAAGGGGTGGAATGATAGAGAGGCTGAGGAGTACATGCTTCAAGACAGAAGATGAATGTGCCCAACATGACAGTAACATGTAGCTAAATTAATCAAAGTACCTACAGCACTAAATACAGCCAAAATATATCGATTCATGCAGAAATCTCACAACAGCAGACACGAGATGCACAGAGGGATGCATCTTTTCTATCTAAATTAATTTCTCATATTTTGCTGATGGGATTTTATCATTCTGTGTCACCAGAAATTACATAAATTTCTCCTTTGCATTTTATATGCCTAACGTGTTCTTCAGTGTTGAGAACTCATATTGTCACAGCACACACTATTGCATCTCCCCATTAAAGATACTGCAGCATATGCAATATACCCAGAAGCTAAATCACCAGGAAAAGTTTTCTAAAAATCACAGCAGCTCGTGACCATTTGACAAAAACAGTTACGACTACTAATATTTCAAAGTATCATTTTAAGTTAATTCCATTTCCGTGGTTCGTGCTGGATTTACAGCTGTTGCTGAGCCCCGCTTTGGCTGAGGCACAGCCCATGCTGCTCAGTACCACAGCTTCTCAGGGGCTTCTCCAGGATCTTCCCCATCACCTCAGCCTTTGCAGAGGTTGCAAATTTGTCTGCCAGACCCCTCCAGCTGCCAAAGGGCAGGCAGTAAATTGGGTTTCCTGCTCCCCCAACTTGGGTGTTGTCGGCAGCTGCCTGTCTTGCTCCCAAGGTAAGCTCCCAGCCAAGGCAGCTGCTAGAGATTCAGTAACTTTGTACTGAGTCACTGATTTCATTTGCACTGAGCACCATTTTGGGAGTCATTTGAGTTGGGAGCAGAATTTGGCCTCGTTGACTCAAACAAGCACCCTGAGCTGCCAGCCCGCAGAAGGGAGAGCAAATCTGTGCCCTTGGGGGGGGGGAGGAAGACATCTCCCCAAAGTATGAATGTGATGCATCCATCCTCACACCCTTGGCAGCTTCTGCATTTAGAAACTTCTGGATGCTAATGCAACTTGTGTCTGCAAGAGATTAGTCAAGATTATGTGAAGTGAGCCAGAAAGGAGGAGCCAGCCTTGCTTTCAGGTAGGCTGGGGGGGCCAACTTGCACTTTGCTCTGCTGTCATAAACAAATTATTTGTTTCCTCTTGGCTTGCAGACGTCTGTTAGGGCACAGTGGGCAGCAAACTCAGTACAAATAGCACCAAGCCACTAGCGTGCATTTTATTTGCTAAGAAGTAGGATTACGATGCAAGGAGAGTGAGAAAGAAGGGCATTGCCTGGCACTAATACTCCCTCTATTGGAAAAAAAGTATCTTCCCAAGAATGTGCAGTGTGTTCCTTAAAACAATGTAAAATAAAGTGATTAGCTCTCCAACAATGGGAATTTACTAATTTACTAGAAAAGTGGCTGGGCAGCTGGGGCATTCTTTCCCACTTTGCAGAGAACAAGAAAAAGTACTTCACTACAAAAGTAAACTGCTTACAATGCCACCATTTTAGTTTAAAATGTTGACTTTTAACAAACAGGGTCCATTACACAAAAATTCAACTCCTTTACTGCTCAGTGCAGGACTGCCATTATCCTCCAGCTGCACATTGGCATGGCACACACACAGTAGCTCCATATGCCACGAACACAGGTAGCTCCCACAGCTACCAAACACACAGTTTTCTAAACAGAGCTACTCCCTGAGCCTTCTGCTACCCCAAAGAAAACAAGGCTGAAAGAGCATGGCACAGACACATCCTTCATCTGACATCATTTCCATGTAATACATGAAACAAGCCAGAAAGAGCTGTCAAGGTTTTAAATCCCATAGGAAGAATCAAAAGTGAGAATACAATTTTAGACCTCTTCAATTTGTCTGCCTTTTTTTTTCCTCCTATAATTGAATGGAGAATACATTTTTTCCTGGCTGGGGCTTGTGGCATAACCACTCAGAATATGCCCTGGGGATGAGACAGGGAGCAGCGGCTGGACTCAGCTCCAGCCTCCCTTGAGACAAACAAGGATGACACTAAGCATAAAAGTTCTAATATTGTTCCACCTATACCACATAGATAATTTGGAGGCAACCACATTCCTGGTGTAAATCAAGAAATTTCCCCGGAATCCAAGAGAATTATGGATTTATATCTACTGAAGATTTACATTCTGCAGGAAGGTGGGGAGGGAAGGGCAGCCAGGATCTCAATAAACTCCCAAAACAAGTAATCACCACTTCCCACCAGCACTGGGAAGGCTTCAGAACGTGCTCTGGCTCTTGGACACAAGTATCCATAAAAGCCAACGCTGCACATTTAACATGAGTTTAACAGCTTTAAGCCTGTTTCCCTGAATTATGTATGGATGCATAACTGGAAGAACGAGAGATTAGCACACGGTGCTCACAGGAGGAGAGATATCCACAAAGCAGAAGTATTAAGCAGGGATTTAGTAACTATTAGCTGCAGTCAAAAAAAAATTCCATCTGGAGTTATATTACAGCTTCCTGGGATGGCCCAGGATGCTCTCAGACCCTTTGGTACATCGACCACAGTGGACAGAGGAGTGGAGAAATGTGATTGTGGGGGGAATGCTCAGAACCTGAAGCATATCAAAGCAACACTCATTCAGATTTGATTTGCTAATATGCAACAGGTTTGTGAAGAAAGGATACAAAACAAAAACTAATCAGAAAATAGGATGGCAAAACACTTTGGAAGATTTTTGTCAATTTTTTATGTATCACTGAAAAATTGAGGTGCATCGGAGCATATGGAGGATATTAGAGCTTTTCTTTATCATTGCAGTAATTTTTGCCTCAGTTCCCTTTCAGCCCCTCGTGGAGCCTTGCTGTGCTCAGAGTACGAGATGTGACACCAACATGGGACGAGGCAGGGAAGATGAAAGTTAACTTGATCACACTTTTCTGGTTTTTTTCGGGTGAATATATATATTTTCTTTCGCTCCAGGCCTCACATAAAGCAGCAGTGCTACTATTGGTTTGTTCTCAGACTCCAAAATAAACACACATTCAGATGACTTATTCTCATATTTCCAGCTACAAGAGAGGCATCCAAGGTTTTGCTTCTTCTGCCTTGGATGTGCTTGCCTCTGTTGATTCAGAAGCAGACTAATGTATAGGACCTTAAATTCCGTATGACTCCATATAATGTAATGAACACCAACAGACCTTAAATTTCCTGTATCTCATGGGTGCTTTTTATTGCACCATTTGGCAAAAATCCAAGAAAAAAATTGCTGTGGGGAAAAAAATCAAAAAATGAAAAGCACATCGCTACTGAATTTTCCAACAATATCACAGGAATGTGATCCCCCCCTTCATATACATACTGATGATCTATTTGGAATTTTTATCCGCAGTTATGAAGAGAAAGAAAATGTTATTCCCTCGGAGGCCAATTTTCATCTTGCTCTGGAATTCTCATTCCAGCCTCTCAGAGAACACTTTGCCTTCTCTATATATTAACTACTATTTGTCTCTGGCTCAAGGCTCACGTCTGTTGCTGCATGAGCTACATGGAAACAAATTCCTAATCATATTTCTGACAAGAGCTCTCACAATCTTGTTGGCTGCAGTCATCCCATTTCCAGTATTTTGCTAGTAAAACCATAGGAAAGCTTTAGTCTCCTCTTACCGAGCATGTGTAACTCCCATTAACAGGAGTCACCACATGTGTGCAGATCAAGCACAGAGCAGATTGTCTGAGAAGAATGGCTGCCTCAGCTTGCTTTCAGCTTCCAGCACATCGATAGATACCAAGGGTTTGCAGCAAGGAGGGCTGCTTGGAGTACAGGTCCAGGTCCTCCCTTCCCAATGGTAAGGCTCAGGATGCGCTCCATAGTCAGGCTGAGGATCTGTTGGTACGTGAGTGCAATAGAGGCAAAATGGGCATTGCCCAGCTCTGCAAGTTCATCCATATGTTGAATTGGATGTTAGATATTTCTAAGATCAAACCACAGTAATGATCATAACGTTTTTGCCAATCCCTTTCGACCTACATTTTTGGGAATCCTGTTGTGAAGTTATTAGATCACTAGATCTGAGCAGCAGCACGTTGCAGGTGACAAGTCAGGTAACAGGCAAAGTTATAGCAGGGATATGGGCATCTTCTGGTGCAGAAAAAACCACCAGCAGCAACTACTCATGGAAAACTACTGCTTACAAGTGTGTATGCACACAGAACGTAACTGCTACTTCAGATTAGGAGGTAACAGAAGTAACTCTGCATGGGAGCAGGTGCTGGTTTTGGGATGCTTGCACCCTACCTCTCTTCCCAGGCATGATGGAACCACAGGAAAAGCTGTGCACTAAGTGCTGGCTTGCTGAAATCAAAGGAAAATTTACAAGCGATGGGATTTTGGTATCTCCAGTAATTCCACCTCTAAGGGTGTTGTGCTCTGTATCCTGTTACCCATACTACCTTCATAAATTTTAAGGATTTGAGCCTTTACTCTCATCTATCCATTCTCCCCAGCATGATTCCAGTTCGTTTCAGCATCTCAGAGATGCAGTCTTCATCTGAGCACTCCCAACCTGTTTCCAGAAGAAACCCCAGTATGTTGTGCATTAAGAAAGCAAAAGAGAGCTACAGCAAATCACTTCAACTGATTATCTGAGGGAGAGAGAATGGGAAATGCAACTTTCTCCACATTCCTTCAATGCAGATGAACACAGCATTGGTGACGTTCAGCCTGTGGAAAGTATTACTGTAATGGGTTGCATACTGCTCAGAACAAAGACCACATATTTGTCTTCAAATCTGGAACCTCTGGGGAGGAATATGCTGGACAGTGAACCAAAACAGTCCATGATCCTTAACAAACCTGTCAGAATTTGCCCCATACAGCAGAATAGTTTCGTAAAAAGAGACTTAAGCTTTCAAACATCTTAAGCATTTTCTCTCAAATACTGTGTATGCATATAGTCCAAATTCCTGCTCAACATATCCTTATTCAGCCTCTATATTTTCCTACTCTCCAACTCCTGCATATGACTTCAGTCTTGAACACCGCAGACCAAAGTTTTTTCAGTGCAGGTTCTGCCCAGGTCGCAGCTCATGAAGAGGCTCTTGGTGCAGATATCAAGTGCTCAGTTTGCAGTGCTCAGCAGAAGCCACTGTCTGTGAAGGGCCTCATTCGCTTTTTGGAGTCTTTTTGGAAAATTATAACACAGGATTTAAACGGGGACTTGAAAATTTTACCACCAAATTTTAGAAACCCGGTTTTTACCTTGTTCTTGTTTTTATTTTATTTGTCGTCTGAGCAAATACAAATTTGACTCTGCCTCCAATGAGATCAGCCCTACGTTTCTCTCCTATGGCAATGACTGAGTGAGCAAAGCTTTAGCAGCGCAGAGGAATAGGTCTGCCTGCATCCTAGCACGCCTGCAGTCATTTGGGTAATTAAGGCCTGCACTTAATGAAGAAGTACCTAAATCAATAATGTAAAGAAGTACAGATACTTTTGCTTCAGCTAAGTGCAGTTAGTTTTCTGCATTATTCATCACACTGAAGACACCCACTTCTCAGAACATCTGCAATTTGTCTGTTACTTGCGGCCCGTGGCTTTGTTCAGCTATGCAGATATGCACAATCCAGACATGCACAGCAAAACACAGAGCCAAATCCTTAATCTGCTCTTGAGATATCAGAGCACTACAGCTGCTGACTTCTTCCAAAAAATCGGAGCAGCTGAGACAAAACTTCATCTGCAACTCATATATCAAAAAGAATACCGGGGAAACAGTTTAAAAGTCAAATGCAAAGCCCACAATTGGTGTAAATCAGAATAGCACCTCTAAGCCAGCTGCAGCTACTCCAAACGGCAGAGCAGAGATCCACCCCAATAGCAGTGTTATTGATCTTTTCTTTAGAGCACACATTCATCTATACCAAGCATATTCAACACTATATCCTCTAGGATTATCACAGAGCCATAAGCAACTGCAACAATTACAGTTTCTATTTAAGAGATGCAAATCAATATTAATTAAAATTAGACAACTGTTTGTGATGTAAGGGGCCCTTGTACTCAAAGGGCATAGTGGCCATTAAATATATTAAGACTTATTACTTAAAAGATTTTAGACAAAGTCAATGCATTGTGTGTCCTGAGGGACAGTTCAATGCCTCTGTATGTTGTACAGCATTTAACTATAGGTGCCACAATCAAAGGCAAACACAATTAAGTATCAAACGGTTAAATGTTACGTGTCACTCTCTAAAGAATCTATATTGAAATGCTTAATTAAACTTTTTTTAAGGAAAAAAAAAAAAAAAGAAAAAAGAATTCCATAGCATGAGTTCGAACCAAAACAAGTGCTTATTTGATTCATATTAAATAACCTGCATATTAAGTTGCTTGTGCTTCTCCTGTTCATTATCATGAAGGCAGCATTTGCATTTCTTGATAGACTATTCCTGTTTCCTTCCCCTTTTTTTCTTGTCTTACATCAGTCAGTGGAAAGAGTGCCACCACAGGCCATCATTAACCTTCCAAATCTGCCTCAAAACAAATAGTACAAGAGCTCACTAATTTGAAGATCAAAAAGCCACTTGTCCATTATATAATTGGAATGAAAGGCAAAATGTTGCAGTTCTGAAGAGCACAGTAATTACTAGCTGTTAATTGCTCTCTCGTGGTGGCTCACTTTTAATTAAAAAGAACAGCTCGTCGCAGGCCGATAAGCAATGGTGGAGACCACTGGTTTAATCAACAAAGCAGAAAAATTTGTTTCTGCCGCAGCCAACAACAGCTTGAGAAATCTTCAGATGTCCAATTGAGATTAAAAACTGTCTATTTAGTGCAGTCAGATTTTATTTTAACCAAGGAAATGACTATTTGAAGTCTTCCAATGTGAGTGTCCCCACCACATCCCCGCTGGTGCTGCAGGGACTAATCACTGGCTTGTGGTTGTGATCATTCAAGTAAAGAAATTTAGCTACTTTCCTCTTGACTCCATCATTCTTGGGTAATTGGCCTGTCTGAGGTGAGCACTTTTTTTTTAAGAAAGAGCTTTAAAGTATGGAAGGCCCACAGACTGTGCATTTAATTACTGTTCATATTTCATGCAGTCAAACAGAATTTCATTTAAAAAGAAAATGATTTACCTACCTAAAGAAAAGAAGAAAAAAAAACCCTTATATCCACTGCTTTGGGTATTTTGTTCCTTTTCCTTCAGCAACTGTATTTACACGCCAAAAATGTATTCAAACATCAAAGTTAATTCTTTCAAAGGTTTCTGTCTTTAACTCTTTCATCTCCTGACAGGTGTCTTTAAGGAATGTCCCACTCTGTGCTGCAGAAATCAGTTCTTTAGAGAAGCAGGTTAGGTAAGCTAAGTGGAACCATTCTGCCCTGGTTTGTCCCATCTCCCTCCAGCCACAAAGAGCTCACATCTGCTAGCGGCTCACGCTCGTCCTTTCCTCTTTTGGCCTCTCCAGCTCCCAAAGGCACTGTACTCCTGTACTCAGATACTCAGACCTTTGCTTTCTTGTATTTATTTACTTCTCCTGAGTGAAGGCTCTGCTTCCCATTGAGCACTACGCAGACAAGTTGCACGTGTACATAAAACTGACCCCAGCCTACCTCACACTACTACACAACCTGTCTTGCTTGCACTGAGATAGGGACGTCTACATGCCGTCTAGCATAGGAAAAAGTTGCTTCTATTGAACAGGGTCCAGGCTCTTTTTTCTCATCTACCTTATTCCCATTAACATCTGGAAACAGATGCTGCTATCTACAGCTGTAAGCAGGTTTGGGGTATCAGTCAGCTTTGGTTTGAACTTTGAGACATATTTCTTTGCTGAGTAAGCTACAACTTCCACTGCTGCCAAAGAATATTCTTCTATTTTCCTTCACATATTGAGGAAAAATATATTCATTCACTTTTCTTCTTATGCATAAACACATACAAATATGTAGATACGTATATATAATTATCTCTATATATACAGCCTCTTTGTAGGCTGCCAGAAATCAAAGCAGGAGAAAACAAAAGGTGCACACCCTCTCACCTGGGAACAGGTGGATTTTTGGCTAGAGTTTTCTTTAGTTTCAAAGCTTATTTCTTGTGGAGACAAAGAAATGTGGTAACCAATTGCTGGAGCCCTAATTTCTCCTTGTTCCATAAGAATGTTACCATCATTTGGATTACAGTCACTCTCCACAGATGGCTGCCTTCTCATCTCCCAACCAACACAAGGAGGCTCTGGGCTGGGGGCATCAGGAACCAGCCCCCATTGCTCACTGTTTGTTGGAGCAGAGAAAAAGAAGAATTTGACCATTGACTTCACTAGCAGTGAGATCCACCTTCTTCAGTCTTAAATTACAGAGTTTAAAATGTTCCATGGCTGATCTGGGCTTGGATGCTGTGAAAGATGCTACCTTTGTAAGCTGCCGTGATGTATTTGAATTTCCAAAGCATCTCCTCTATAAAGACAAAATTTGCCATACAACTTTTCGTATATTCACTGATGTACATTCATGTGCACCTGATTATTCTTTATATAAAAACAATTTTGGAATTACCTGTGAATGAGGACTCTACCACGTTACATCAAACTCTATGTGAATAAACCTATTAGTGGGATCAGTTCAATCCTGCTGATTTAATTAAGAAAAACATATCAGACCATTTTTAGGAACACACCCTATGCTCAAAACTGCCTTTGAAGAAGTGAGCATGCAGCCCTTTGTCTTAAACCAGTGTAGACCCATGAATAGTTACCTAACCGTGAGGTTAATGGGACAGATTTCTGTCAGTTCATAAGGATGAGAAATAAAATCTATACTTTGAAGCATACTTGCTTGATTTAGATAATGAAATATATATATAACAATTTTAAAGTCAACTTTTTCCTAATTGTTGGAGAAGCAATGTAAAAAAAAAAGAGAATATCCAGGTTCAGCCTTACTTTTAGCCAGCTCTGCTCTCAGTTGTGCACTGAGTTATATGTGCAGTGAGTTAGCATATGTATATGCACACACTTGATATAATGCATATGGAGATACAGTTACATATGCACTTTTTTGTGTGTATATATGTATAAATTAGCTTTCCAAGCTGCATCCAGGCACACGCTGGGCTGAGCTGCAGCTCTGCCATCCCTCAGCACACCGGGGCTATCTGCACCTCCTGCCCACTCATCTTCCTGCTCCGGCCACGCCAACCCGCTCCAGCCTTGCCGAGCGATAAACCCTTGGCCTCTCGCGTTCGTCTGGCCGATAAGGTGAGTAGCGAATACATCTTATTTTTTTGTTGTTTGTTTTTCCTTCCCCCCTTTTCCTGCTCCCATTTTCGGTCAGCACCTGTCACCGCAGCCCTGACTCTCGCGGTTCTCTCCCGAGGGCCAGCGGTTTATCGGAGGAAACACTCGCGCTCGCAGGGATGGCCTCCGCACCGCGGCCGATTAATCCGAGTTGAGTGCACTTCCTTCGGCCAGGGGACACCAATTACCGCGAAGGCACCGGCAGCACAATGCAGGCGAACATCTGACAGCCCGGGTCCTGCCAGCTCCGCATTGTCCTCCCGTCAGGCGCTGTCAGTTCCCAGCCTTAATTACATCCTGTTTACAAACACTCCGCCGGACTTCAGATGGAGCCTTAACAAAGGTTGACAAAGGTCAGGGCCACGTCACGGGATGTTATCTGTCTGTGTGCTCGGGCAGATAAACTCGGGGGCTGATTTCGGAGATAGCACAGGGAATGCGCCGGGGCCATGAGAACGTCGGAGGTGTTGGGGTTGGAGGTGTTGGGGTTGGAGGTGTTGGGGTCGGAGGTGTTGGGGTCGGAGATGTTGGGGTTGGAGGTGTTGGGGTTGGAGGTGTTGGGGTTGGAGGTGTTGGGGTCGGAGGTGTTGGGGTCGGAGGTGTTGGGGTTGGAGGTGTTGGGGTTGGAGGTGTTGGGGTCAGAGTTGTTGAGGTCCTGGCACCAGTCTGGTTTGAACCATTCTTGTGCATAGCTGCCTTATTTTGTTATTCTTTAACCAACCAGCTAAGAACATTTCATAAATCACTTTCCTATGTTTTTTGTCTTCTAGAGGTACGGGAAAATAATGTTCACTGCAACCTGTTGACTTTCAGTGTGAACAAAAACCCAAAAAGAAAAAATAATAGGAAGAATTTGAAATTTACAGCTGGGTTTGCTTGCATGGGAACGAGGAAACCAGGCACCTCTGTAAGCCAAGGCTCCAGTATCATCTTTCCCCATCTTAAGATAGATGAGCACTGACATGAACTGAATCTCATCCAAAACTCAATGTATAGCAGCACTTACAGGAGTAGAGCAGCTGGATCAATCTAAACACTTGATATATCAAAGCCATTAACTTAGGAGCTTGTCACCAGACCCATCTCTTTGTATCTAGTCAGTTATTCACACATCATGATTCACGAACCCCAACTGCACAGGACCACACAGCAATAGCCAATGAAATCGAAAACCCAGCTTGTTGTCGTATCACCGCTCTCTGAGGACATGCTGCAATAATTACATGGTCACAGTCAGTGAAAGGCGACTGGCACAGCATCATGCTCCTGCAGAGCTGTGCGATGGGTAGCAGAGGCTGCGTCAGTGGTTCTGAGCTACTAGCAGAGTGCTGGGCATCAGCACCCATCTAGGATCTTCTGGATGAACTAGCAAATATTTCTGACGGTGGATGAGACTGCACCTGCCTGCCCACAAAGGAAGGGGACTTACAAGTTTCATTACCTGAAACAAACAAGCAAAACAATTCCTTGGATTTTAGGGTCAGATTGTGATTGTTTTCAGTGAGAAATGTAAACACCAAATAAAGTAACAGAGTAACACTGACCATGACCAGGGCTTCCCAGGGTTGATCTTGCAGTTTTGGATAATGTCCCCCATACTTAGTTATCCACTTAAATTTAAGACTTTACTTTCATAAATAAATGGCAAAGCTAAGGACAAGAGGATATCTCTTATTTATGTATCAATTGCTAACAATCCAGTAAAAAGTTGATATCCCATTTGAAAGAGTTTACAGCCAGGGGCTGAATGCTATAGAAAAGCAAATCCACACTCAGTACAATTACACTTAGCTAATCCAAACAATTACACTCAGTGAAAGGAAATTCAAAATTACATTCTATCAAGAAAAGGAGTGGAAAGGATGACTTGCTGGAAAGGTTTAAAATATTTGACAATCCAAAGTGTAGAAAAGTTGAAGGTTTAAATAAAGTCTGCAAGCTCACTGCTGATTACATACACTCAAAAATATTCCTGGCTGGTCCTGAGCATTTCTGCTGTGCCTGCACTGAGCTATTCTTACAAAGAGGTGGAGCATGGTGACCCTTGGGTGCAGAAGGAAACCTCAGCCACCCTGTCAGAGAGGGTACAGCTCAAGCCCCCAGTAACAAATCAGTCAGTAACAGAATGAAGTGGGCACTAGATTAGGGGTTTTTTTTTTTTCAAAAACATGTGTTTTTTGGTCAGAAAAATAAGGAGGAATAAAAGAATGAAGGCTGATTTTTGGAGAATGGCATCCCTTACCAGGCAGTGGCTTTGCCTTCCCCAGAAAACTGGGCTGTGCTGCTGCAGGAGAGCCTCGCCAAGGCGACCAGACGCCGCTCTGCAGTTCATAAAGCAGGCTCTTCCTTGCCCAGCTTCGTGACTTGTCGGCCTCAGTATGCCTCTTGTTCCAGACCACGTGCCAGTCAGCTGCTGTTACTGCAAAGCTGTGCTGAATGCTTCTTAATTAGCCCAGTTCCCTATGGCTTAGCCCAGTTTTCGACTGAGGAACAGCCTTGGGAGCTGTGAAGCCCTGTATCTGGGAAAATGTGATCCTTGATGCACCAACCCAGTTCAGCACATCCTATTTTCCCTACCGCTGCCCAGCAGGCTCAGTTGCATTTGTGCTGGAGTGCCATCCTGCCCAGGAGGCAGCTGCAGCAGGCAGGGTGCAGAGCTGGAGGTCCTGTGCACTGCACAGCTCTGTGCCCACCGGTGGCATGAGGACAGAGCTTGTCCTCGAACCCAAGGCTCATCACCTCCATGCACCAGGCATGAGTCAGAACACAAATAAAACTGATCACATACGTTGTACTTATTTGCTCAAATTCACGGGCTTTTTTCATGCATGTAAACCTTCTGCTGTTGCATTGGTTGTGCAGCACAACATTATAGGTTTGAGTTTACCTTAACTTAAACCAGAAAGAACTCTGCCTTTTTTCTTTATTATTTTTATTACATCATCATATCCTCTATTTTCCTGCATTCTGTTCTCCCTTTTTATATTTTTTTGTCCTTTAAAGTCTGCCTTACATTTTATGGACATCTTCCTTGCAGCTTCCAGAAGGGTGCTCCATCTTAAACTCAACAGCAAGGCTGACAGATGGGCTTGATAGTTTTTTTCTTTTGCAAGTAATAAAAAAGGAACATTACACTTCACGTGAAACCAGAGCACTGCCTCGAAACAACAGTGTTTGCTTGGCTATAAAAATAGTTACTGTTCTGCCAGGCCCAGAATCAAAGCATTTGCATTAATGTGTTTCCTCTTTTAATAAATAAATCCAATATTTTAAAATTTCATCCGTTTTAAATTACTGTTGTTGTAAGTATTATTTTCCTCTACGTCCTTTGAATTGTACAGCTGTATCTAGTCTGCTAGACACGCTTCTCAGCAGCTTGCCAAGGTACTCTAACAGTTACATCGTTATCTGTGCTTCCTAATGAGGCTAATGAGGCTGCAAAGTGTTAAACCTGGGATTGGCTGCGACATCTCAGACAAGCTGCCTTCCTCCATCATGCTATTTCCTTAATAGTAGCCCATCTCCAGAAGGTGTATCAGCTTGGACAACATTTTTTAGGTGAGAGCCTCCAAAATCCTTGACCCTCAGTTCTTTCCAATCAAAGCTTGAACAGAAAATCACACAGACATAGCACAGACACTGTCATCGCCACAGAAGTCTGTTTTGCAAAACCTTGCAAAGTTTTGTGTTGTTCCAATGCCAAACAGACCAAAGTTTAAATCGCTGAACTTCTTTAAAAATAAAACCACCACCTTCCATCTGACAACAGATAATCCTTTTTTAATCAGACAGCTAACCATGTCGATGCCATAGCCTTAACCAGTCACGCCACAGGTCCAGAAGCCATGAAGGATGGGGACAGCCAAAGGATTTGTTTTTTCACAGTTGGATACTGGAAGCACGCAATTATATTTTTGGTTGACTTTTTCATTTAGGTCCAGACATACAGATTAAACACAGCAAACACCTCCTCCACTCAAAGCTTTCCTTGCACTCATCCACACTTCCCACATCCTGCACACATGAAGGGCAGGCGGGTCGGTGCCATCTCTTCACAGTTCTAGTCTGCTCCCACTGCCCCACCGCAAGGTGAGGGACAAGAGCTGCCCCAAAAGAGCTGTGGCAGAGGGCAGAATGAATGACAAAATGAATGACAAAACATCAGGGGGTGTCTCCTCTTTTAAGGAACACGTTGAATTGCCCTCATGCTGAGGAACGCAGCAAGGCAACAGCTGGATGAGGGCTTCACGTTTGGTTTTGATCACCAATTATCCCACAGATTACAATAAAATTAAAAAGAGACTCTGGTTATGCACAACCGATGGAGAGGTACCTTTGTAAAAAGTGGGGAAAAAAGGGGCAATTCCTCCTCCCTCTCTCTGAGGACACCCTGCAGAGCAGTGCACCACTCCTGTGAGGGTTCACTTCTCCATCCGCCTCCTCTGCATGGGAGGGAGCCCCAAAGCTCCCGTTTGAGGGAAGCAGTGTTCAAACACTGGGGTTGAAATATGGAAGGTGAGGGTGACTCAGGGGTACGCTGTGCTGCAAAGAACATGATAACATAGCACAATTGCAACCCCGAAACTATCACTGGAGGATGACATTGGAGATAAGAAAGTACAGTATTACCAGGCTGCTTTAGAGTAGTAGGAAATCGATTCGGGCAGACAAGCTAAATTTATTTACTTTATTGATTTTAAATTTTACATGAACTGCAGTATAAGTAAATCTTTCATGGTAATTCCAAATCTTGAAACCTATTGTAAATAACTAAAAAAATGTCCAATGTTCAGAATAACCATTGCTTTGTACTGAAAGTGCATTATTCTTAAAGCCCAGGACAAAATATTTTGTAATGAATACCCTAAATCTACCTTGGCAGTCAGTGTTGATATCTTTGCTAAAATAAGAGCCTGCTTTTGGTGTACCTGATGATTCAATAAAGCATATATTTTTCTAAAGGGAAGGGAGGAAAGGAAGAAGGGAAATTTTTCCTATTGTATGAAGCGAAGCAGCACACAGGTTTTGTCCTCATGTCTGATGGAGGAAAGCAGCTGAGAGGCTGCAGTGCAGGCAGAGCTCTGTGCTCAGAGCTATCAGCACTGAAAAGAGGAGTGCTGGAGGGGCAGGGAACACCTGACCCAGATAAGGACCAGTCCTGGCTCTGGAGAGAAAACAGGTGACAAGCAATACACGGGGACAAGGGGACAACGTCTCCTTGCCTTGCTCGCACAACAAGTCCAAGCCCAGAAGCTCTTGGAGGCTGGAGGGGAAAGGTTTATTTGGCATGCTCCCTCACCCGAAGCAGGGATCACAACGACCTTCCCAAAGCAACTCATGCACCACTATCTTCATACTCCCGGTACTTTTGTAAAATTAAATCTCAGGAACACTTCTTAGCTGTTCCAGGCAGCTGAGCTGGAAGGGACAGATCTGGGGCTGTACTCACCGCCAGACACGTTCCGACAGTGCAGAAATGGGTAATCTTACAGAAATCTACAATAGACAAAAACTCTTTCCCAAAATTAGAAGCACCTTCTGTTTGTCTCTCTTTCTGCAGAGCGCTGGGTATTCAGCCCCAGCACTACGTCCCAGACAGACAAGAATACCTGTGAGTACAGACTGCTCCCTCATCATTTACCAACAGGAAAAAATACAGTGATGCTGACAAAAGCACTCATCCAGTGAAGTTTTGTTCCCCTGGGGTCTTTTTTTTCGCCTCGTTGTTGTTTTCTAAACTAATCCATATTACCTGTGCCTTTTGATTTCATTATGTTAGATGCCATTAATCTGGATATATGATTTCAACAGTGAAGAGATGGAATTTGTCATCAACAAAAGGAAAACATTATTTTTAAAGGAGTGAAAGATTAATGTTCCACCACGGACTACTTAAACCCTCTACAGCAACAGCACTATAATATTAATCCAACTTTGATGGGTTTTGCATAAGGCTCATAATTAAACATTTTCTTTTCAATACTTTATAGAATCCCCATCTGTTTTTAATGGCATCATTTTGATGTTTTTCTTAATAATTCTGGCAGCCTGCTCTTGAAGCTTCAAGCTCTATTTTTTGTTCTTAATGTCTTCTTCTACAGTGGCTGTATTGTGCCAAAGCCGAAGGCAAGTTTTGGAAAGCCATCGTTAGGCAGCGTGTTGCTGTCTCTCCCCATGTTCCCAGGCAGCAGAGGGGCTTCCGTTCACACTTACAGCAGCCATTGATTACCGCCACCGGATAATGGAAATGTTTGTTCCTTCAACGCTCTGCTTCTGCCTCCCTGCACAGCCAGCCCTGGCTGCACCAAATAAACAAGTGGGTAAAAAAATGACAGCCTGCTACCTCCAAGAAACCCCAAAATGATTGGGTGTATCGCACCGATTTAAGCGAGACGCGGTCTTTGGCTCTTCTCTCTGCACCAATCCCCCAAGGCTTCCCAAGGGTAGGCACCTTCTTTGGTGAAAGGAGACAATCCTTGGTTCCCTGTAGGTACTGCAGTTATGGGCGATATCAAAGTGGTGTGGAAAGCTCAGCACCGGGAGGTTTGAAACATCCATCAAAAGCACCTGATGGAAACCTGGAACGTGAACCTGGCAACGGCTGCTGCAAGAAGCGTCTGCTTTCCAAGAGCCGTGCTGGGATTGTGTCAAAACAAACACAACTGAAAATGCTCCTCTCCAATAATATCTTATCAAAAAAAAAAAAAAAAAAAAAAAAATCCAGGAAAAAAACAACTTTCCAATTTAAGCTTTTCTTTTCTTTTCTTTTCTTTTCTTTTCTTTTCTTTTCTTTTCTTTTCTTTTCTTTTCTTTTCTTTTCTTTTCTTTTCTTTTCTTTTCTTTTCCTTTCCCTTTATTCTCTTCTCTTCTCTTCTCTTCTCTTCTCTTCTCTTCTCTTCTCTTCTCTTCTCTTCTCTTCTCTTCTCTTCTCTTCTCTTCTCTTCTCTTCTCTTCTCTTCTCTTCTCTTCTCTTCTCTTCTCTTCTCTTCTCTTCTCTCTTCTCTTCTCTTTTTTTTTTGTGCTAATTCTAAACATATTTTTCATTCCTGTCCCAAAACTGATGATTTTCCAACAGAACACTGAAATCAGTTTTTCACTTCTAGCAAAATTTCTGCTTGAAATTTTTCTGCTCTTGGCGTTTCAGCTCTTCCACTGCACTACTTTTCCCTCCAAGATGTTTCATTCTTTTATATTAAATGCATATTTGGTGACCTCCTGTGGTTCCCATGGATTAGAACGGAGGAGCAGGATGATTAATGACTTCAGTTTAAATATTTTATACTCTCTGCAAAAACACTACAAACTGATGGATGTGTACACTGCTATTTTCACTTTAGTGTGGGGATATCCTGGATTACATTTTCCCCTTGTTTTTCCCCCACTAAACAATGCTATTAACCTCTTTTCCTATTGCAGAGGGAACCAAGGGGCTCCTGGCTCCCAGGCTGGTGCACTCTGGCAGGACACGTGAGCAGATACTGCCTTAATCGGGGCTTTCAACCTTGAGGAGGTTTTAAATGCTCTAAGTGCATTATAATGGTCTTCTGGTCTCAGGACAGACAGATGTGAACCGCAAAACTGAAATGTTTCATCTTTTGGCGCCTTTCAGTACGTACCATGCTGTGCTTCCAGTGTGCTGAAGGATCAGAGTTACTTCAGTTCTGGGCAATATAAACGGAGTGATCAAAAACATTTAATTATTCAGGGTCAGCAAATCTGGAGGATCTAATAACAACAGACAGAAATAACCTTTCCAACCACTCTCATTTTCATTAACTATTATAAAATAGAGAACTGTTTAATTACCAGAAAATATCATAGCAGAAAAACCCAGCATCTTCCCAAGGGTCTTTCCCAGTCCACTTGAATGCATTTGGCACCGCAGCATAATTTAACTTTATATAGATAGAGGCTTGTACTTGTGCTCGCAGACGCACACACGCTCACTGATAAATAGCTCAGATCCTCATTTTAGCCTGATTCCGACTGCCTACTTGAGCACAGCTGCAGGCTTTCAAAATGCACTACATGAAGAGACTTTCACACAGCACTCCTGTACGTGTCATCCTGAAACGTGATGACGAGGATGATTGGAATGGAAGTGACAACAGAACTGGTTTCCCAATTATTTCCTCTATTTAACTTCATGTTATGTACAGGTGCCTGGAACGCATGCTTCACAGCGCAGGGGCACACATTTCCCCAGCAGCTTTTTTACACCCAAGGAAAAAAATATGTTGCAGATGCTTCTCCCAGCACAGTGATGTTTCTGCAGCGTTG